TTAATTTTCAGGCTTGCAGGCCTCTTATGTGACTTTAGAACATTTAGACCAAGAGTGAGGCATTTAGAGTTGAGGCAGTGAGATTTGGGAAAACTTAAGTACCATGATCCCGCAATCTCCAGCCCCCTTCCTCTCTCTAAGATGGTCCTGATTTGCTTCAAGTTTCTAGGATGGCCTCATCTGAGGCAGACACTTTGCAAGAGGATGCCAGTTCTCCCTGTGAACCACCTACCACTTCTCATCGCTTCTGGATCCTTAACTACATTCACTGTCAGTGCATCCAGAGGACAAAATGCAAAATCAAATCCAGAACTTGAAAACAGCAAACAAATCGCAGTATTTTGCTAATTTATATTTGAAAATTTCCAGAAAGCAAGTGTGGGAATTTTTTTTAAAGACTTTATTTATTTGAGAGAGAGAGAGCATGAGCCGGGGGGCGGGGTGGGGAGAAAGGAGGGGTAGAGGGGGAGGAAAAAGCAGACTTCCTGATGGATGCAGGGGCTCGATCCCAGGACCCTGGGATCATGACCTGAGCCAAGGGCAGACAGTTAACTGACTGAGCCACCCAGGCACCAAGTGTGGGAATTTTTATTTCCACACTGAGGATGCTGGCCCAGCAAAAGAGGAATGTAATTTTGGAGGGAGCTGAATGCATTGATATTTGGATTCGATGTGCTGGTGTGAACAGCTGGGACTTGTTTGTTTAGTAGGCTCACCGAAACCTGATCTCAACCATGACCCTTGATGCCAGAAGTAGAGATATAGATTTTCTTTGGCTTAATGTAGAAGTAATGCAAAGACATAGGGAGATAAGAATGTTGGAATGGATTTCTCTCATGTAACCTGCTCATCCACCTCCTAATTATGTCCCCTGAGAGGACTAGAGTACCTGCCCTTTACCAAGAAATACACTGATGAAAGGGGCACCACCATCCTTGAAAGGTGCTTCATTGGCTGATTTCTGCAATGCAGGGATGGAGATGGGAGACGTTCCATTAGAATCGACTCAGTGATTTCCATGGGGATGTAGTGATGTCCAAGATGCAAAAGCCAAATAGGAGTACTTAGCTGACCAGAGGCCATGTGAGTATGATAACTATAATAGGCAGCAAGGACAGAGCGAGCATCAGAATGGGTTGACCCACAGAGATCTTGGGTAGGGGCAACTGATGTTGAGTCCCTAGGCTAGAAATAGATGAACAATACATTAAGGTTGTACTTGATCTGTGCTACCAACACAACCCTGAGTATAACAAAAAAACAAAAATGAAAACAAAACTTGGATTGTATCACCATGAAAGCCATAGCCCCTCCTTAATTTCCAGATCTGAGTCAGTGCACAGATCCTGAACCCCTTAAATGAAGGGAAAGCTGGGTAGCCTTGTGGATGGGCAACTTGGCCAAATTCTTTGCAGTTTTTTTTTTTTTTTTAAGTAGTCTCCACGCCCAACATGGAGTCCAACACAGGGTTTGAACTCATGACCCAAGATCAAGACCTGAGCTGAGATGGAGAGTCAGATGCTTAACCAGCTAAGCCACCCAGGCACCCCTCTTTGCTGTTCTGTATGCTATTCTGCAGTGCAGAAAGGAATCACTCTGAGATGGAAGAGACAGTTAAACCAAATTACAACTGATGCAGTATACAGATTTGAACAATATTGATTTTCTTTAATGACCACGATCATTCTTTCAGAAATGCCCCCACATTGCATAGATTCTAGCATTCCGTGCCTATGTGCATCATATAGGCTTTCACATGTGGAGGAACAAAGGGAGTCAGACTTTGTTGCCACAGGCTCTTCCTCAGAAAATTATTCTTCTCTCTTTTTATATGACCATGTCTTTTCTCTTGGTGATCCCTGTCTTTCAACAGGTCAGTTGACAGGTATCCTGATTATGGTGTTGTGATCTCCAGGCCACAGATTGGATGTTTCTCCCCTTACATTCAATCAGTCACCTAGTCCTCTCCCATATATCTGTCCTCTTCTCTCTCACCCTCTACTACTGCCTTCAACTAGGCCAATGGTCCACAAAGTCATTTGATCACTTGCCATTAATATCTGTAAAAAATCAAGCATGCATCCCAATATTTGTTTGCAAATAAAGTGCATATGAATATGTGATACACTATGTACATTAGGGAACATGCACAAAAATAGAACTAAAAAAGATGAAATAAATATAAATAGAAGTATTAATATTTTCTTCCTTCCCTCCAGTGCATTTTGCAGTATGGTGATATGGATGTGTATCTCACTTCGAAGACACAAGTTTAAGCCATCATGTTCTCTCACTGAAGCAGTGGCCACTAATTACTCTGAAAAAAGTCCCAAGTTCTTTAGCATGACATCATCAAGTTCCTTCTTGATTCGCCCCAAGCCTACATTTCTCGACTCATCTCCTAGACGCTCCCAGTAATGGGCTCTTTTGATCATTCCATCTATACCGGTCTGCTCTCTATCCCCAAAGACACACACACACACACACTCACTCACTCACTCAAGCACACATGTAACCCTTTCCACCTAAGTTGCTCAACGTTCTGCACAGAATTTATCCCTGTCTTAAGTCATAAATTTATTTGTTTTTTTACCTGTCTTCTTTATAGAGTGAGCTCTGAGATGACAGGGATCTTATCTTGCCTGTTTTATTCCCTGTTGTGTCCTCATATCTAAAGCAGATTCTGGCACCACAGTGGGTGCCCCCCAAAACCGGTGTAATGAAAATGAGCAAATTTCTTTTTTTAAAAGATTTTATTTATTTATTTGACAGAGAGAGACACAGTGAGAGAGGGAACACAAGCAGGGGGAGTGGGGGAGGGAGAAACAGGCTTTCCCGCAGAGCAGAGAGCCTGATGTGGGGCTCGATCCCAGGACCCTGGGATCATGACCTGAGCCAAAGGCAGATGCTTAACGACTGAGCCACCCA